ACAAATTTCTGTATATTTCCCAAATATATTACGGTCCGAAATTTAATAGCCAACAAGCGTTACGAGAGGTCATCATTTTTGTTGGTTTAGGAGGGTGTTGAGGTCACAGCCACAAATTAGGCAAAACAGTAGCGAAAATAGTGTCGTGTCCATCAGCACCAGCCTGCAAATCAAAAATGTGTGTCTCTTTTTGACCTTTTTGCGGACAATTACCATCAGAAAAAGAGAGGCACAAAAATTGCCCCATGTAAACAGCTTTTTTCTAGACAATTTTCTTTGCTAACCAAACGTGCAACCGAACAAAAAACAGAAACCAAATTAAATGTCGAAGGTTTTGCACGATTGTCTTCGACCCGCAGTGCGCAGTCCGCAGTCCGTACCAGTCTGTGTTTTTCTGGCCATTTCAATTGACAAATGTTACTTGTCTGCACCAGACGCCAGCCCCAGACCAGACCAGACCAGACCCCGCTCGAACCTAGCTCGAACCCAGCACAACCTCGAGACCACAATCACAATCCGAAAGACTTCAGCTCCAGCACGAAATCGGTGATTTCGTTGATGGCCCGGCAGAAGAAAATCTTTTGCCACTTCGCATTCCGATTTCAATTCCGAAAATTTGGGTCAAATTGTGTCGCTCGAGCGTCTCGTTAATTATGATAAATTTCGGTGAACTTAGGCCCGGATTGACCCTGGCAGATGTAGCAGCATGAAGTACAAGCAATACAAGTACTAGCCGAAAACTCAATTAACTGCTGCATTTACTTTTAGTAACGTTAGCTCTGGCCTTACCTTCGCCGCTTCCTTTCGGGGCTCGTGATTATGATAGATTATCAAACATAATGTTTGCAGGTGAGTGATGAGATCTTAGGTGTAGGGAAAAGGGTGATAATGTTCCTTGATTTGATATCTTTCGAGTAGAGTTAATAGATACAATTGCCTTGCTGTGTGTGTACTCAGAAATTTCAGTGAGTAGAGTCAAATCAGTCTACAGAACTCAGCAGACATTCTCCGGTTATGCAATCCACTTAGCACCAATCAAATTATCAATCTGAGAGACTCCGCTCTAGACAATTTAGGAATCAACTCACATGCCATTAGGCCGCAATTAGTTGGCTTCCACACAAAAAGCTGTTCCACAGTTTCGATGAATGAAAACCAAAGAAAACTTAATCACCTTTCGAGCATATTTGCACGGATCAGACGGCGAAACATGTTCGGCATTCGATTGACAAATGCGAGGCATCTCAAATCTGGAGCAGCCGTGAGCGACTGTGCGGGACTACAGATATCTTATGCGAGTGTATATTAGATTATACATTAAACTCGCAGAGGTGAAAAAAGTTTCCAATTCAAATGCCAAATGACAAATGTTGGGCAGAGATCGATAAATCGATCGCTTGCCCTATAACATATGGCTGGACTCGCAGCTCAAATCGTTAATTACCATCAATATATAATACGTTAATCTGCTTCGCAAAAAGATATTTCAACAAATACGTTTATTTTTGGGTTGATTGTTTCGACTGCCGAAGGAAGAATAAAGCTTATGGAAAGACGCTAAGACAAATGTGAATATCTTTATTTTTATTTATGTATTTTTTTTGTACTTCACTCTGCTTTACTCCCCTAATTTATGGCCTGCTAACACGAAAGGTGTTTGCTTTGCTGTGCTGTCCCAGATTTAAATCATTTGAATTTTTAATGGAAGGGGTTTTCCAAACAATTCTCCAGAGCAGAAAGAACCACTGAAAGTAGTTCTAAACGAAATATCATCATCGTATCTCAGACTTACCATTCCCACAACAATTTTTGTTTAGTATACAAATTTATTTTAGAGAAAAAATCCCCTGCGATCATTAATTTTGGGCGTGTATCAAGAAAATCAAAGATTAAATAACATTAAAACCTGGAAGACTAGTTTCAGACATCAATAGAAGTCAATACACTGCCATAAAAAGAGTCCAACAATTAATGAGATTCTTCTACTGGACGGAACAAATGTACATTTATATGTGTGTGGAGTAATAAACAGATTTAGTTTCGATTTCTTTTTGGGCAAACATGGAGTATATGTTACAACAAGTCTAAGAGGATCTCTTAGCTCTGAAAAGCTAATAAATGCAGCTACTATCAATTAGAATTTTAACGTAACTTTAATGAACAAAATAAAATTTGAAAAAAAAATCGCACATATGTACAACATAAAATCGAAAGAAGGTAACTAATTTAAGAAAAATACTGCAACATTTTCATAGTTAGAAGCCCATTTAATTATTTAAACCCATTATAAATTTATTTGGGTCAGCTTAGCTTAAAAAATAATTTTAAAATTCATTTACAACTTTACATCTAAATGTTAACCTCTTCACTCTTAGCCTTTCACACACCCTTTGAAGCTTAGGATACTCTTGGCAAGAGTATTTATTTTACATGCAATTTGGAATTAAGTTGGCTTTTGTTTTAGCTTGAGAACGAGTCCGGCGTTGACGTCACACGAGTTTTAATTAAATAAATTAAGCAGGCGATCGGCCAGTGAACGCAAAATGTCAAATATCAGATTATCTAATGGAAGATGCCCCACCTCCCTTGTTGAGCGACTCTAATATTACTTGTATCTTATGCTAATAGCTGTCAGATGTATCTGCATATTCGCGACTGTTGATGAGACGGCAACGTTTCTATTTTGATATTGAATATAATAACATATTATCATAATTGGTTTGTCAAGATGGAAGAGTTCGCAGTTCCTGCAACGGCCACAAATGGTCTACTTTCTAATTTATTTTCAAAAGAACATCGTATCCATCTCATAGGGGAACTTTTTCAAATTTGACTCCACCCGGCGTTTTATAGACTCCAAAGCATTTTAAGCGCCACACACTTTCAAACATTTTGCCTTGGTAATTAGCTAAAGAAGACCATTAAATCATTAAACACATTAGCAAACAAATAAAAAAAAGGAATGTCGGCAGAGAGGCTTTGCTATTAGCTATTGTAGAGACCTTTCTTCGTTATAGCTATAGCCTACACTTAATCGAACTCCTTTAAAATAAGTGAAATGAAATGAGACCTTATATCTTCTTCAGAATAACCTTACAAAATGATATTACACAATAAAAAACTCTTTATTTGGAAAAATTTTTCTAATGGTGAACTGGAAATCACTTTTTCAGTAACATTGAAATTTTAAACCATATTGAAAGACGGTCGACCAATCCCAAAACCCTCCTCAAACGTTTTAGGTACCGGGTATTTAAGTAGAAAACAACTCGGCTAGTTTGGATCTTCGATCCATCTCTGTCCATTTATTCCAATGTTGGCGAGTCAACAACAAAATGAAAGTGATCTAGAAAAACCATAAAAGAAGGCAAACAAAGAAACCCGACTGAACAAAACAGATAAAGGCCCGATGCATAAACTTGAACTTGAGCTCGGGGCTGGGGCTGGGGCTGGGGCTGAGCTCTTTCGATTGTTGATTTCGTTTTGGGTCTGCATAATTTATATGGAAGCTCGCACGTCACCCGCACGATTGCAGTGCGGTGGTTCTGCTGCTACTGGGGATGTGCTCTTGCCAGGGCACAGCACAGCCCCACCGTCGCCAAAGCGATGGCTAACCACAAAAGAAGCGCCACCAAGGGAAGGCCTACCACCCGCCGGTCCCCTCGCCGCCTCCCGCGAATGTGGTTCAACTTTGACTCAGAGCCCGCGCCACCGATTGTGATGTAGATGTAGATGTTGATATTGATGATGGACGACCTTCGCCTTCAACTGCACATTACAAAGCCCAATACGCCAGCTGCCATTATGTTCGGACATTATATCAGCAATTAATTTAATGCACATAAATCTAGCGCTATTTTTGTTGGTTGCTCGGAGTGTTCTCCTTTATGATCGCTGTGGTCTAGTCATTGTTCACACGTTCCATTTACATGGCCATTGGCGAGTATTTCCTAGGCAGCATTAAAATGTCAAATTACCAACACACAGACAGAATCCTCCACAGACAAGACCCATTCAATCAATGCACCCATATCGAGGTTCGGGCTGAGTTTTGCCAAAAAATTAAAAAACAAAAAAAAAAAAAAAACACTGAGCAAAACACAAATCAGAGATCAAAAGTTCAGTCACGAAGCCCCCAGAAACGAGCCCCACAGAACCAAGCCTGGCAGACTCCGCGGCGCATGTTTTCCAGCGGAACATTTACATCGAATGTGCAACTGCAGTAGCAACAGCAACAGCAACAGCCACTGCAACTGCAGTCCAAAGTAGTGGAAAGTGATGTGTGGCTAATGTGAATTTGACTTATGGCTATGGAGCATATTTTTCTGTGCCTAATTTCATGATGGAAGTGATGGAAGTGTTACCGGTTGGATATTAACCAGCAATGCCAGAACATAATTTACGGCTGGTAACGCCTTCTCTGAATCAAGCATTTCAGGGGACATGATTTCCAAATCTTAGCCCGGTGCAACAATAAAGTGAAAAATGGTTAATTACTATTTACTATTAGTATAATATTATGTACAAGAATTCGGCTGTTAATTTATATCAACTTTTAGTGAAATATTTTAAGGTCGTTTCTTCAATTATTATCGACTTGTGGCCCAGGTACTCGCGCCCTAACAACTGCCAGTGGGAGAAGTCAGCTCGACTCTAGTACGCTCACACGGATTCTCACAGACACGCACTCACACAGGCGCATGGTCACACGAACGACACGTACAGTGTACGTGAGAGGCACCCCCAGAAGAGCTTTTCGTGGAAGCGTTTCCTTCGGGCCATTGCTCACACAGACGGAAAACGAGCGAATGAGAGAAAGGGAGAGAGCAAAGCAAAGGAGCTTTTGGTCGGGCTGCTGCGCAAACGCCTGCAAGACTCGATCTTGGCTCGCGGCGACTGCGCAGCCACCGCAGAAGACAGACCCGCAGTAGCATCGGCCATATAAAAGCTCGCGACGTCTGTGCGATATTATTCAGTCTACTGTTGCGGGTTGGTGGAGACATACGAGCCCCTCTTGATCCAAAGTTGTTAAGTGCAAAACCCAGTGCAAAATGAAATCCATGGTATGTTCGGTCCCAGCTATTGAGTGTTCTGTTCCAAAGTGATTCCAAGGCATAGCTACATTAAAACAAAAGCAACCGAAATCGCGCTTGGAGAACTCGATCTTGGTTAAAGTTGTTTTTAAATAACATTATTTATGGCATAGCCCAGTCCGATCGGTGTGGTAATTCGAGTGCATTTGAAATAATTCAGACAAGTAAACTCGTTTGAGGTTAATTTTTGAAACCGTTTCTTCAAAGGAGACAGGAGATAAAGCGAATGTCGATACTTTTAAAAATGCTTTAAAATTACTAAAAAACAGTTGTTGGTCGAACACACATTTAATAGAATTCTATTCTATTCTATTCATTGTCGTTAAGTGGTGTTAGATTGCAAACATTTTTTGTTAAATTTTAAAGTACCTATTTCACGTATTGTAAGAATGCTAATAAAAAAAAGTTAATTTTCCAACAAACATCATTGCCAAGTTCTAAAAATATTTGTGAAATATTCAGGACCCAACAATCAACTGATATTTTAAAACCAAACCAAACTGTTGGAAAAACCTTAAGCTTTAACACGCTCAAGGCTGTTCCCACCTGGTAGACCAACAACCTATTTTTACTTTAGCCATTCCCTTTGTAAATGTCTATTGCACTGACACGAATTGCGAATCTGATTATTTAGTCGCCACGCCAAGAGTATATCCAAATATTCCAATCACCCACAACATTGCTCCAATTTCGAGCCCCATTACGTATACGCCGCATTGCCAATATGTTTGGCCGCAAATTCACTTGCGCGCCTAACCTGGGGCACCATTGAACTTGGCTGGTTGCCCAGTAAGCTTTCCAGCCATTGCGTAACCGTCATATTCCAAATTATGGGCTGACAGGCGGAAGCGGGTGTAGTCGCTGTTTGCATAACCCAACCCATTTGATTTGGCCAGCCCGATTGCGGTCAACGCGTTTGACTTTAATTTATTTGTTCGCTTTCCTTTGTCCATTGCAGCTCATTTTCGGCCTTGTGGCCATGTGCGTGCTGGTGGCCAGCGCCAGCGAGGAGGCGCCCAAGAAGGCCGCCGAACCCGCCGAGCCGGCAGAGAAGAAGCAAGAGAAGCGGGGCATTGGCCACGGCCTGGGCTACGGCTACGGACCCTCGGCGGGCGGTGCCGTTCTTGGATCGGGTATTGGTATTGGAGGCGGACCCATCGGCCAAGCTGTCGCTGAGTTGCCCACCCAGGTGCACACCAACACTGTGATCAGGACCGTGCAGGTTCCTTACCAGGTGGAGCGTCACGTGCCCTATCCCGTGGAGAAGACCGTCACCTATCCTGTCAAGGTTCCCGTGCCTCAGCCCTACCCAGTCGAGAGGATCGTCCATGTGCCAGTGAAGGAGATCGTCAAAGTGCCAGTCGAGGTGCCCCAACCCTACCCAGTGGAGAAGGTCGTCAGGGTTCCTGTCAAGATCGCCGTCGATCGTCCTTACACCGTCCACGTTGACAAGCCCTACCCCGTTCCTGTCGAGAAGCCCGTACCCTACACCGTCGAGAAGCGCGTCATCCATAAGGTCCCAGTCCATGTGGACCGACCAGTCCCCTACAAGGTGGCCGTCCCAGTGCCAGTCCATGTTGAGAGCCATGTGAAGCCCGCCGTTGCCGTCACCCACACCGTCGCCGCTGCCGCTCCAGCCTACATTAGCCACGGCTATTCCGGCTACTCCGGCCACGGAATCTCTGGCCACGGAATCTCCGGCCACGGAATCTCTGGTCCCGGCATCGCCTCGTACGGCGTGTCCGGACACGGAATCTCCTCGTACGGCGCCTCCGGCCACGGCGGCTACCTCCACAAAAAGTAGATCCAATTGCAACACTTACGAGGGCCACTGGAGAATCGAAGTCGGGTGAAGGCGAGCGCATAAGCAAGTCGACATTATCAAAATGAAAAATAGGCCAACAACCTGGACCCTGCCACCCAATCTGCCACCCTCTCCCCCGCCAAGCAACCCTCAACGTACGACTTAAAATTTAGTTTTAGTTTGTGATAACAGCCGAAATTCTTGGAGGATCTGGGCCAGGGGAAGAGCTTTGACAGGCGCCGTCGATGGGTTAATCCAACCTAGAAAGCTTGCCCCGCCCATCCGGGTCGCTCTGCCAATGCCTGTCCCCTCGCCTTCCCCCTCCATGTGTACAGTTCTTTTGTAGACAGAGACGGAAAATCAAACAGCAGACGAGTTGCTCCTTCGACTTTTTCATGAAAATTTCCTTTCTATGAAATGTTTGTACATATTTAAATAATGTAAATAAAAAGAAAATTTGAAAAAATAACATAACCAGAATTAATTGGTGCCAAAAATGTAAGAATATTGTTGTACTGATCTGATGCGTTTTTCTCTTTAATTAAAATTACCGATTTCAATTGTACTAGGTTTTCCGTTATCATGGGAGCAATATAAAAACTCATTGAAAAAACCAAAGATTTCTATTGTAACTGGAGACCTTATTTTCAATCGTAGGAGTAATATGTGCGTAAATCTGTGATAGGATGCTGATCTTAGCGGCTTCGCTGTGAATAGTGAGATGTATGTATGATGAATAGTCCACATCCACAGCAGCAATGGGAATGAGAGTGGATATGGACAGAAAATAAACGGATTTCCAGTGACTATGTAGAGACGAAAAGATTAACACCGTGAACACCCAAGTGGGTAGAGCAAACATCATTTTATATAAATATGTCGGGCTCCCAGCGGAATTCCGATCTGTTTCCGTTGCGACACGAAAAACAGCGGATAACTCTGAGTTATAATGGTGTGGTAAGCTCTCAAGCGCAACTGCTCTCTCAGCATTGCAAAACAATCCCCCTAAGACAATTATTACCATTTCTTTCTCTAGCCCACACGCATCATCTCCACCCATTGTGTTCTCTCTAGCGAGTTGTCTCTCTCCACGCACTCTTTCTCTAACACAGGCAATCTCGTAGTGAATTCTTGAACAGAAGACCAAAGTTCACTGAGAATAATATTATGATCCGATACAGGCAAATATTATATCTTATATCTCAATTGATAACGACAGGCAGGCCCGCCTCCCGTCTGTTCCCACAGAAGTTATTTCCTTCTATTTGTTATTGTAAAGTGCTATATTAGATTGTTGCTAACACAAATAAAAGTTATTTGCTTTTGGTTTTGGTTAAATTTATTAAATTAAACTTGGCTGGACTGAGATAAAAGTTGCAAATATTTTGCCAATATAAACCATTTCATGTGATTGCATTGCTAATGAGTAAGAGACTATTATTTTATTCTCACTGATAAAAACATAGCTATTTACTCTAACATGAGTTACCTATCGATAGATGAGTTAGCTCAGCAACTCAGAGTTCGTGTCTCCACTTGCACCTATTCTATTTATTGAGTTGGAAAGCTGATACGTGCGGGTGGTTCTAGCAAAATTTTATAAAAAATCAAATTATGAAAATGGTTAACGCAATGATACAATTTCTTTAAAGGATTCTATTTATTTTCATCTTTTACCTCAGCCATAATTTGTAAGCCCCATAATTTGATTTTCGATACACTAGTTTTTATTGTTACTAGTGGCAATACGATAGGCAGAACAGCGTTAAAATATTCGGAAAATCGAACAATCGCAAGTGAAACCACTAGGCCCATATGCTTATCCTATAAAATTTAAACTCTGACCAAAACTCAACAGTTTAACCCTAGTGTAAACAGTGTATTAGCCAATACCGGACTTATTAGTTTTGTGTAGATGTGTAGGTAACACCCAGAAGGAAGAGTATACATATATCTCCATCCGGCCCCATAAAAGGCGAAATTCTGTGGCATCCACAATGAATGGAGCCACAAATCTAGCAATTTTAAATTGTTATTTAGCAATTTTAGCAACTTTATTATACAACTGGCAATTTTTATATTTTTTTTCAATGTTTTTGTATTTTGTATACCTTTTTGTCATCAACTGCAGAAATTGCGATTAATAGGGTTCACAAAGATATCGGAACATGTATTTAACTCAGTGGCTCGATTATATGAACACCTTGATAGTGTTTGAAAACTCTTTTAATGTTGGTGGTGTTTAAGTAATGGATTCGCAAGGATTGCAACTGATCCAACGCGAGATTATTGTACGTGTAATGGGCGCATGTAAAAAACTAAAAATGTTGCCTTTCGTTCGAAGTCGACCAAAACGGAGGAACAGGAAGCAGTTCTATGCCTGCAAACACACGGCGATTGCCACAAGTAATCATGTGTGTGGAGCAGTTTTCAGCTTGCAAAGTGCACCTACATTATTAAAAATGTATTCGAAATGCAATTCATGGACGACTTTCGAACCAACATAGCAAACTCAGCTTTTAGTCTTCTTTTCGACGAGTCTACTATATCTTTGTCTGTGTATATTTGTTGAAAATTAAAATTTTAATGGTTTACCAATTTTTTGCAATTTTCATAAAAATTGTAGACATTTTTTGAAATTTTTCTTCCCATATCTAGCAATTTTTGCTTAGAAGATTCTGGCAGCACTGCACACAACAATAATGCGGTTTGGCTCGAATTTAGTAAAGGGCATATATACTATGTAGCATTTTTAGAATTTTTTATTTTTGTAATCGAATTATATATTTTGTGTTTATTACCCGCGAATAAGCTTTTACCCCATATTTACTTTTTATTTTACCCGAGAAAAATCTTCTTCCTCAAATTCGGCATTCCGATTTCTGTTTTTTGAGCAACTCCACCGCATTTGCCACATCGCAATTAAATTTTTTGTTTCACCTATTCATTTGTTAAATTTATAATCCAACATCAACAGACAAAAGCTAAAGGACTTTCATTTGTTGATGCAAAACTAGTTCTGCGATGGCTACAGCCTGCATGCTCGCAGCCAGGATCGCTGCATGGGCGAAGCCGAGCTGAAGGTTCTCCTCATACATGTGATCGGCACCATCGGCAACAATCCAAAGGAGATGGATGTCTTGAACAGTGTCTATGTGATCTTGCGCAAGGTTCCCTACGACTTAGATGCTAATGAATATGCTGCGGGATGCAAAGTAACAAATACGGAAACTGGGACAAACAGAGGATTGAAGGTTACTGCTTCACAGACTTTTCATTTATACCAATTTCTACCAAATATTCGCAGACAAAAGTCGTACCGGGCAGAACTAGCCCCTACCTGTTCGCTTATATAACGCCATCTTTCCGAAATGGTTAAAGAAATGGTTGACTTTTTTGTTTAAAGATTAGAAGAAAGAGCTCAAAGCTGATAGAAATCTCTGCCTACCAGTTAATACAAATCTCTTTAATTTGTTTATACACATAGATTAAATAATGGAATCAGTGCTTTGAACGGTTCACTTCTTTTTCACTGTTTGGCTATGTTACTTGTTCCTGCTCTGATTATTAACTTTGAACTAGCACTGTTCCGTGCTCTCGCTTTCCTGAACGAAAGCTCTCCGACGATATCATATCCATTGTTAAAGCTCGGTATGCTTTATAAGCACAAACTTTAAGCATAGCATAGCCAAGCGCTCAGCTTTATACAGTGGAAACAAAGTATCTAAGCTTTACCTTGGATCACTATAAAAAAGTTGAACATTGTATTAAGCCCTAAGCTAGGCAACATCTCTCGACTTACATAAAGAAAGCTCGGCTTAAGCTGCTACTTTTCAAAAACATGCGATAAATGGAAAGCATATTGGAATGATGGCTACTGTGTACCCCAGAGGGAAAAAGTTTATTTTACAGAAGCTTTCTTATCGGAACTCGCAAGTAGAATAAGAATTTGATTCCGTTGAATTTTTTTTAGTTGAATTTTAATTTCTTTGCCGTGCGGACTACTAATACAGCATAATGCTAAAGTTTCTGCTCATATTTTTCCTAAGCATTTTGGCATACAAGATGATAAAGGCCCATCGAGATCCGAATTTGTGCAGTCAGCCCGTTGAAATTAGCTATACCGAAGAGGAATTTACCCCATTAAATGAATATGGACCATTCGCGGACTACTTCAAGAAACTGAAGATAAACGGGAGTCCAAAAAAAGTGGTAAACCATGTTGTGGCATTCAAAGCGCATTGACGGTTTTAATTCAGAAATATTCTCAGACCAAAAAAAAGACGGAAATGCAAGAAATTTGCTGCCCTGGATACATAATGTCCACCGACGGCAATGGAGACTGTCAACCCCTGCTGCAAACCAAAACCGCAAGTGCACTCACAACAACCTCGACTGAGGACACTCATGAAACTGAGACTTCGACGGACTCCACTTCTTGGAGCACCTGGGACGACTCCACTTCCTCGAGCACCTGGGACGACTCCTCCACGGAGTTGCTTACAACTACGGCGAAACTCCTTACAACCCCTACGGAAAAACCAGCTGAATTCGAATTTCCTGAACATGCTGCATATGTTTTTTGTTCCATTTTCATCATTGTGCTAGTTCTATGCCTCGTTTCCTACAAGCGTAAGCAAAGGAAGTACCGAGTGCAACAGGAAAATCATCACGTGAAATTCGATGCCGAAGCGCACAGATCTCTTATATAGTCTGCCCTTTACCTCTACGTACACCTACTTATACACATACTTACATACTTATATAGACTTATACATACATATGTATGTATAGAATAACCAGGAATTTGTATTATAAAGCCGAAAGGGAGAAAGAGAATCAAATGTGCAAACGAATTTAAAATATTAACTCGAATTACTCATTCAAATACTTTGAATCGTAACAAAATTAAAATATGAACTCGAATTACTCATTCAAATACTATGTGTACATTTATTTATACATATGTATGTACTCTTATCAGAAATAATTCAGCTCAAGTCCCATCAGCTTATTTCACAATTGTGAAGTTCGCTCATGAATGGTTGCATACAGCATGCTCTCAGAGGATTGATAAAGCAGTGGCAGTGGGTTGTGTCAATCTCGTTCAAATTTCGATTGCACAAACGATTATTACATTATTATTATTATTATGATGTTCCGCTTGTTTTAAATACAGATACAAATCTCTCTATAGAAAGAACTCTATACAAATGAAAAGCGAAAAACTAAGCCAAGTAACTTTCGTGAATCCAATTCACTCCTTACCCGATGTTACTAAGTTTCCACGCTTAACGAAATGGTTCAACCGTAACGCTTTATCTTGTGGGATTCTTAAATTTGGAAGCAAACTCGGGAGAAAATAAACTAGGGACAACTTATTGTATCTACTCGCCGATCCCTCATCACAAAAATATAATTTCTTCCAATGCTTTCGCCTTGTCTCAGTTGGATATCAATACAATTTTT